ATTATGATTGCCCTGTTACTAAATGACTCAAATACACAATGAATGATGCAGTTTAAAGTAATTTATTTAGTTGCTTTAGTACAGAAAAAATTATATATTGGTGCCATTTTTGCAGCAGTGTCAGATTTTTAATAGAAAATGAGACATTGCAGCGTTGTGATGCACTTTCTCACACAATTTGACAAAATTATGTGTTTAGAAGTTTAAATAAAATGTTTGTCAGTTAATATGTCTGTATCATGTTTTTTTCAAAACACAAGAGATTAGATTCTTAGATTAGATCATGACTCAGTTGTGTTTTTGCAATAGAAGTGACTTTATTTATGTGTTTGGGGTTAATTTGTTTACGTTTTGTACTGATTTGCCTGTTTTGTCACAGCGAGCAGAAAGCCACGGTCCAGTGGAGATCATCTCCCACTGGCATCCAAACCTCACCATTAATATGGTGGACGATCACACAGCCTGGGTAAAAGGTTCTGTTCCACCTCCTCTAGACCAATGTAAGTTTCTGGTACATTCTTAGCAATATTTTAGAGTCTCGGTTTCCACAATATAGCTTTATTAATTTTTCATCATGTCTGACCTTTCTACTTTTTTTATCCCTCCTGGTACTAGATGTGAAGTTTGATGCGGTCAGTGGTGACTACTACCCTATCGTGTATTTCAACGACTACTGGAACCTTCAGAAAGACTATTATCCCATCAACGACACCCTGACTAAACTCCCGCTGCGTCTCAACTACTGCCCGCTGTCGTTGTGGCGCTGGCAGCTGTACGCTGCTCAAAATGCTCGCTCTCCTTGGAATTTCCTACCTGAGGACACCTATGAGCAGTCTGATGAAGACCAAGACTCAGTTAAGGTGAGTGCTGGAGGTCCTTTGAGCTGAGCTGCAGTGAGTCGTAATTTCCTCACACGTTACAGATGTCTCCATCTCATCTCAAGACCACTAGAGCTTTATTTTTGACACCTGTGTTTGAACCGATCAGATATTACACCCCCCCAAAAAAAAATTAACTGATGTCCAGGTCTTAAAACGACCCCAACGATCAATACTGATCATTAAAAAGTGGTCCAAATCTGCCAGAAGTGCACTCCAGCAGACTAAATCATAAATGTGAGTACAATGTGGACAGAGGTGRGCAACAAATTTGACTGCTCAAAATGCTTTGGTATGTCACTTGACCTCAAACATTAAGATTTCAGTGAGACTGCAACTATTTATTTATTTTATTTAACCTTTATTTCACCAGGCAAAACATTAAGCACAGTTTCTTATTTATAATGTTGACCTGAGAGTGCAAAAACAATTAAAAACACTTAAAAACACAATAGGGAAAGGGCGACAACATAAATGGTACATACAACATATAAAGTAAACAGTGCATTCATTCTTTAAAACATGACTCCTTAAAAAGATCTTTTAGTCTGTGTTTAAAAGCAGGAGTAGAAATCAAAGTGCCAAAAATGCAGTGTGTTTTGATAAATTTCCAATCATATCCAAGTTCAATCAATACCAATGTCTTTTGTTATAAGTTTTTTCAGTTTTCAGTCATCATCTCATCTCCACAGTGAAATACTACCTTTAATATCTCAAACATTTGTCACAGYGTAGTGGAGAAATGTCTAGTAAAGGAATATGTAATTGAACATAATTGGTTAATTACATTCTATTACAACAATGCATTGATGTTTGAGCTCTGTTTAGAATAAATGTAAGTTGCTATGAGGCTTTCTTTGTCCAGTATGATCAGACTGTGAAAAAAAATAGCAATTTCTCTTTCTCTGWTATGGTATGTTTACAGTTAAATGCACTTTATAGAACAGCCTGTGTTAGACCTGTTTGTGAGCAGTTCTGTGGCTGGTTGGGCTCTGCTGTCATCACAAACTCAGAATTATAATACTTTTGTAAATGAAGGATAAAAGCAAATCTTTTGTATTTTTCTATAGGTTGCCCTTTTGGAAACAAACCCGTACCTGCTAGGACTCACCATTGTCGTCTCTATTGTGCACAGCATCTTTGAGTTTCTTGCTTTCAAGAATGGTAAGCAGCTAAGAGTCCAAACCTCCACCGCCCCCAGGACTTTTATTTATTTTGCCTCACCTCCACACCCTCTTCCCCTCAGATATCCAGTTTTGGAACAGCAGGCAGTCCCTTGAAGGGCTTTCTGTGCGCTCCATCATATTTGGAGTGTTTCAGTCTCTAGTTGTGCTGCTCTACATTCTGGACAATGAGACCAACTTTGTGGTGCAGGTCAGCGTCTTCATTGGTCTGCTTATTGACCTGTGGAAAATTACCAAGGTCATGGATGTCAGGGTAAGTCACATACAGAACATTATCGTCTTTGTGTTAACGTCTGTGTGAACGTTAATTATTGACTAACAAAGACCTCTCAATTTCTTCAATGAATAAATGATGGAGAATATCCAAGTGCATTGTTTTATTTTGTAACCTAAAAAAAGGGATTTTATTGGGATGCACAGATATGAAAATTTCAGTCGATATCGATATCCAATATTAATATTGCTGTTATGGCCGATAACCGATATTCACAGATTTTCTACAAACAGAAATTATATATAAAAGCACAAACACACTTGTCC